TCATTCCTCTTTTTAATCTTTCTCTTAATATTTTTAATGACGACTATTAAATTAAATAGAATTCCAAGGAAACGGAAAGAGAAAACGAAAACTTATTCGTATCACAGCTTAGTCGTCTGCCGACTTGTTTATTTTCTCTCGTTTCGGGAATAATGATTTTTTTTAGATAGATCGAGTCTTGACCGGATTGTTTTACACATGCAGACGGCATAATTCTCAACGGAAACGATAAAATTGGTTTGTGAAAACGGTCTGCCTTTTTTTTTAAGCACGGCTGATTTTAAGACAAGTAAATTAAATTGGACTCTGCGATTTTTCTCCGCAAAAGTCTCATAAACGTGAGATAGATGAATTTTTTACTGGTAATAGATAATTATAGAGCATATTTCGAACGCATTTGTAATGCTATAAAGTTCTTTCAAAGAAGAAAAACAATTTTATTTAATAAAGGAAACTTGATAGTTCACTATAATTATCGTAAAATTCTGATTTATTTCTGATATTCGGCAATTCAGTTAATTTTCATATGTCAGTGACATATTGTCATCAATGATAATTCGTATATATCGCTTTAATAATTTTCTGTAATGAGTTTTATTGAATATATATGAGATAATGAAATGGCTCTTGATATAGGGAAATGTTTAATTAAACGCTGTTTAATTGAATGTTCATGATTTCGACATTTTAATCATCCATATGTATGCATATACATATATGTGTATACATCATAAACATGTGTATATTATATGTATATATAATATTATATAAGTGCAATCTATTGCATGCTGCAGTGCATTGTGCATTTACAGATGGCCTTGTCAAAGATCAGTACTTTTAGATTAAAATATAAATTTTGATTATGTACTTACATTATTAATTAAAATAATATAAAATAGAATTTATTATTTCAGCGATTACAAAAACCAAGAAGGGACTTGATTTATCATATAAAATTTAATCCTATCCATTCCTTAAATTAAAATAATACAAGTATTGATTTTTTAGATATAATACAATATAAATATTTTACATACAATTTACATATAAGTACAGTTGAGATAAAACAAAATATTGACATAAATATAGTTCTGATAACTATATTTATGACAATTATGAAATTTAAGTTCATTTTACTTACTGCAACTAATTTTTTAAAGTAATCAGTACGAAAGTAGTATTGAATTATTAATTGATAGTAAAATAGCGACAATTTTAATTATATAGTTATATAGATATGTAAATGGAATATGACATTATATATTTCCAGTTTAGACAAATATTTTTGTGAAGTAAGCATAATGCCACAATGTCATAAGGGGATAAGTTTAAAAAAGACATGTTGACAACAATGGTATACAATATATATTAATTCATCTAACGATTTATTACAAATGATTAATATTATATTCTTGAATTCTTGAATTATATGACTCGTTAATTGTTCTTATTACGACTTTATTATATATAGTTGAGGCGTTATTTGTGTACAAATTTTTTCTGGTACGACTTTTTTCTCTGAGTAAGCATGAAATTTTGATAAAATATTTATATATGCATGTGAAATTAACGAAATCCAAACCAAAGAAATGAAAAAAAAAAGAAAAAAAACAGAGCCAAGATATTTTCAATTTTGAAGGAATTTTTAATTAAATTCTGAATGTTGTATATATCGCGTAAATTTTCTCGACAGTGCCGCGAGAAGCCAAGCAGAGCGACTTATTCTTTAGTCGCGAACGGTCATTTAAAGGCCTTTGACCTGTGAACCGTAGATCTGTGCATGCGGCTCGCGTGCGTGCATCGCGCACGTGCCGGTGATTATGCAACGAGGGTGCAGCGTAAATTCGACGTAATTCCACGAAAACGCCGGTGTCGGCGTCGACAAGCGAGCGTAAGGTGAGCGTGCGCCACAAGAGCAACCAAAGTGAGCAACGCGGAAGAAAGAGGGAAGGTGCAGAAGGTGCGAGACAGACGGAGGGAGCGGACGGGAGCGGAAGGGAGAGTGAGAGGAAGAAGGAAGAAGAGAGTGACGAGGATGGTGGACCACCGAAATATCCGTTACTCCGAATGTGCGGCGTGCGTTTCGTGACAAGCGTGCGCCTGGATTGAACGCACGCCTGGCGGTCGGTGTTGTCAAACTTTGCGCCTAATAGCCACCACAGAGTCTATTGACGTCGCTCGAGGAAACTCGCTCGAGCACTTTGCCCGAGGATAAAAATGATCCGCGAAGATTTAACCATGCCCCACACGCGATCGGAACGAAAGCGTGGGAATTGGCGCTATTTCTAGTTTCGGAGTTGGCGTCAGCGAGACGTCGTCTCGCATCGCCGTCCTCAGTCGCGCTCTCGATCTCGCCTTTTCATTTCGATCCATCGCTCGATCTCTCTCGCATCGCATGGGTGCACGCGCATCCATCTCGCCGTTCTTGGTCGCGCGCGGCGCTGCGCGTCCCGGCCTCCCCCGGCGTGACGTGCGCCGCACGCACGTATGTACACGCACGCACGCACGCACGCACGCACGCACGCGGGCACGTACACTCGCTCGCTCGCTCGCTCGCTCGCTCGCTCGATCTCGCGACACGCGCGATCGGAGCAACGAAACGGAATGACTCGAGAGTAACATTTCTCGGGGAGTTGAGAAATTATTGCAATCTGCTAAAGAGCGAATGCTAGATGCAACGAGACGTGGGGGTGCCGGGTACGCGAGGCGTCGTTGCGGGAGGAACGGAGACCGAGAATGAGAATGCGAGATAGATAGACCGAGTCCGCGCGGCGAAAGAGAAAGAGGGGTGCACCAGAGCGTCTACGAGATAGAGGGAGCAAAAGGGAAAGAGAACACGGGAGACGGAGACAGAGAGAAAGAGAGAGCGAAAGAGAGGGATGCAGGCAGAAAGAGACAGACATGGAAAAGAGACGGCGCGCCGCCGGTGCGAACGAAAATTTTGATCGCCGCATTTTCACGTGGAAGCACGTCTTACCTGTTTCACTAGTGGGAGTAGTGTCTGTTCTATGCTACGGGTCTTAATCTCTAGGGTGGCTGGGTCTACGGGGTCGGGTGTCGCCATGATTCGAACACAACTCCGTGCTCCGTAGACTCGAGCCGAGGCGAGAGGGTTCGTTGCACCCCTCCTACCCCCGCCCGTGTGCCCGGCACGACTGTAACCCTCGCCCCCGCCGCCGTCGCTGGCAGCCACCAGGCACCCTCCTCCCTACGGACCAACCAATGGTCTTCGAGCCCCGTGCCCAAGCCGGCAATGACGAGGGCGACGTCGCGCGACGACGACGGCGACGCCGACGCAACTACCGCCGCCGGCGTCGGAGGCCGGTGCGCCGGGCGTCCCGACGCCGCGACTCCTAGCCATCTCTTGGTCCCTCGCGCAACGCTCTTCGCCGGTGCCGCCGTTGACGGCCGCCAGTAATTTCGAATCGTGGATTCATATTATTCGTTAATATCTGAACTTTCCGGAAGGAAAAAGAAGAGAACGTATGAGTAAAATTAGCTGATGATGTGCGTTAAGCAAGCTTTGAGAACAAAAGGATTGATCTGTATATAT